GTTACTGTGTTGGGCCCTTCCTGGTCTCTCCAAGCTGAGGGTTAGCCCAGTTTTTAGTCACTGAATATAAAAGATTAAAACTGAATTTTATGCTTGCCAATATGTACATTTTATCTTTTTATTGGAAGAATTCCTAATAAGAAAGGACTGCTTAAATGCAATAATGGTGTTGTATCTGAGTCTGGGATGTAGCATAGTAGTATCACACTGCACACAGCAAATTGTACCCATTTAATCATAATTATGGATTATTAACCTTGATGAATGGTTTGAAACACTCTAGTATTGGTAATTTTGACAAGGGATCCTTTCTTATTTTTTGGAGATAGTCTTGCTAAGCCCCAGTAATAAGGGATCCTTTTAAACATTGTCCATTTAGGGTCGCCATAGTTACTATAGTGCCTATTTGATTCTAAAACATTATGTAAAGGAGACATTCATTTGTCTCTGTTCAGAAGTAGTCTCAGACCTAGTATTTTAAAAAAAGAAAGGATACTTTTCTCTGTCCTACTATTTAAAACCCCATGCATTGAGCTGGAGAGATGGTTAAGAGTTCTTGCTGCTCTTAAAAGAGGACCCAGGTTTGGTTTCCAGGATATACATGATGGCTAAATCACCTTGTGTAACTCCACTTCCAAATCTCATGACATCATCTGGGCTATGCAGTCACCAGGCAAGCACATGGTGTACATACATAAATGCAGGCAAGCACAATAAATATCTAAAATAAAAATCTAAAAATCTAAAATAAAAATCTAAAAATCTTTTGGGTTGGGCATGGTATGGTGGTATATGCCTTTAATTGGAGCACCATGGAAGCAGAGGCAGTCAGATCTTGTGAGTTTGAGGCCAAATTGATCTACATAGAGAATTCTAGGCCTACATAGTGAGACCCTATTTTTAAAATAAAAACTGGGACTGGAGAGATGCTTCAGTGGTTAAGAGCATTGGCTGCTCTTCCAGAGGACTGGATTCATTTCTCCAGCCCCTAGGTTTGCATTTTAATATTCCCAAAGACTAGATTTCTAGAGGTATATAGCTAGATCAAAGAATTTTATCAGCCTTTGTTTTGTTTTGGTTTTGAGACAAGGTTTCTCTGTGTAGCTTTGGTTGTACTGGAACTCACTCTGTAGACCAGGTTGACATAGAACTCAGTGACCTGCCTGTCTCTGCCTTCCAAGTGCTGGGATTAAAGGTGTGCACGGCTACCACCTGACTCTCGGGGCTTTTTAAGGGGAGAGGCACATGTTTTAGAATAATCCTGGCTTCTTGGCTTGTGTCAAAGAGCTACCTTGACTGTTTCAGAAGCCGGTACTCTGGAGTCCGCAGAGCCTGGTCCTGAGAAGGTTCATATAATCTTGAGTATACAAAGTGGCTAGACTGGTTTATGAGGAGCTCCCACTCATCCATGCCTCCTGTAACTTGCTGAAGCCCCTGGAAATGGACTGTTATGTTAGAGGTGATATTTCGATGGGAGCTACTAGTCTACAGGCCTGTGCTCTTCTGGCTTTCCTCAGCAGAGTTGGAGAACATCTGGTTATAGCAGAATTTGCTTTAGGCCAGAGGACTACTCATTGCTTTACTCTACCCAATAGAAAAAGAAAACAAGGGGAAACACAGTGTTTTCTTTGGGAGCTGAGCCACCATGAACAGCTTGTGATCTTGTTCCCATGGTGAATAGGTCCTTTGGTCTGGGAGTGCGCAGCGCTGCCCTTACATCAGAGATGTAACCAGTCAGATGAGAACTAGGGAGGTTCCAGTGGCAGGCAGCAAGCTGCTTGTAGCTAGTGTAAGTACACTGTGACTAGGAGTCCAGCCTAGGGTCTTTGCTCCAGAGGACAGCAGTGTTAGCAAGGATGAAGCAGAGTATGTTGTGTGCTCTCAAAATCCTGACGCCCTGCACTAACTGCATGGGAAGCCTAGACCAGTGATACGTAGGAGTGAGACCAGGATAGAGTCAGTTCCAGAGTGGGAAGGTTTGAAGTGAATGACCCTTAAGGACTTTGAGATGCAGGGCTGATGGAATGCTAGAGAGAAGTCTGCACAGCCTGCTCCAACAATAATCCTGTAGGTAGGTTCAAACTCTGGACTGCTTTTTAAGTCATGGGGATCAGGGCATGGAGCAGCATGTTTTGTGTGTGCATTCTCACATGCAAGGGCTATGGTGAACGTTCCAAGGGCTGTAGGCTGGTACTTGGTACCACTCTTCTTTCCATCCCATGATGCTTGGTCAGCATCCTGGGCCTCTCAGCTCATCTGTTTTTGATCTTGTTTTTCTATTGCCAGGTCACCCCTCTAAATTTCTCAGTGTCACAAGTGCCCAGCTGTCCCCAGGCCTATTTGGAACTGCAGGCACTGTCTCCGAGTGAGCGGCAATGTGTGGAGACAGTAGTCAACATGGGCTACTCATACGATTGTGTCCTGAGAGCCATGAAGAAGAAAGGAGAGAATATTGAGCAGGTGAGGTGCTGATCTGCAAGGTGTGGGTGGAGAAGCATGGTGGCCTCAAGTCAGGGTTGTGATCTGCCTGCAACTCCAGCCTCCTCCACTATGTGTTTTGAACCTGGCCTGGGGTATTATCAGGAAGCCAGAAGTTCAGCAGTAGTACTTCTTTATGCTGGGAGAAAGCCTGGGGGTGTGTACTGGAGCCGCTGTCATCACCCACCCCTTTGTATCTCCAGAGAGGACAGAACTGAGCATATGCTTAATGTCTCAATCTAGACCTTTTCTTCTTTTGAGATAAGGTCTTATGTAGCCCACACTGCTTGGTACTGAGGTAGCTGAGGCTGGCATTGAACTCATGGTCTGTCTCCACCTTCTGAGTGCTAGCATATAGGTGTGGCCTACTGCTACTGGCTTACCTCCAGAAACTTTTGTCATGGCTGCACAGGAAGCTCTGAATAATGTTTCTACCTTGGGGACATTTCCTGACATGTGCTATATGTTTTGAGAGGACTATCATCTTGCCCTGAGTGTTGAGTTGACATTCTGGGAGAGTTGAGTCAGCTGTGACAGCACCTCCTTTGGGAAGTGGCTGCTCATTTCTAGAAAAGTATGCCAGTCTATTTACCAAGTAATGACTGTCCAGGATCTGATGACTGGGGAGGGTCAGGGAGCTTCACACAGATGGTCTAAAACTCAGCACAGAGGCATGGCAGTAGGAGATTAAACCTTGTTTCTTTCCTTAGATTCTCGACTATCTCTTTGCACATGGACAGCTTTGTGAGAAGGGCTTTGACCCTCTTTTAGTGGAAGAGGCTCTGGAAATGCACCAGTGTTCAGAAGAAAAGGTAGGACCTTCCGTATTCATGGAACAGTTGTCTGTCCTGGTGTTCTCTCTGGGCCCTGTTTCCTTTCCTTACCAGTGACTGCAGGCAGAAGCAGTCAAAGACAGAGTCCTCTGTGGCCAGACAAGATGAGTCCTTTCTTAGTAAAGATGAAGCGTGGAGATGAATCAGAGTGATAGGAAGGGGAAATTGAATTGGGCTAAAAGCCAGGCTTTTGGATAGCTTGGACCACTGCTAGAATTTTTGCCTTCCCTTCTACCTAGAGAGCAACCCCAGGGGTTCAATACCTTGTCTTGATGGAAATATTCATGTGGTCAGTGGGACTCTTACAGAGGTCAGCAAGTGAGTAGAGGCTGGGCTTCACAGCCCCCCTCTGCTTGCTAGGGAACTTTAGAAAGATCTACAAGACTCTGGTGGAAGGATACAGATCCTCCACCTGCAATATACCTCTATATTCAGCTGAGCCTTTTTTAAAATGTGTTCTCCTTTATCCCATAGATGATGGAGTTTCTTCAGTTGATGAGCAAATTTAAGGAAATGGGCTTTGAACTGAAAGACATTAAGGAAGTTTTGCTATTACACAACAATGACCAGGACAATGCTTTGGAAGACCTCATGGCCCGGGCTGGAGCCAGCTGAGACTAGGTCCTGTCACTGCCCTGCCACAGCAACACCATCCCCCAGGAGGCCCTGCACAGCTCACTTGTGGGGAAGAAGGGACATGCTTCCAGATTTTCTTTGGGGGTTAGAAGGTCAGGCGTGGAGATGATTATTTGCTAGTCTCTGTGAGCCCCGGCCCAAGCTGGGGGGAAGGTAGGAAGATTTGAGCATACAAATGCCATACTGGCTCCTTCAATATTAAACATAGCTGTTATTTTGAGAAGTGTCCTTCCCGCATTGGCCTTTCAGAAAGAATACTTGGATCTTTCTGGGGTCTCTTATTTCCTCAGCCAAAACCTGACCTGGCTCCCAAGAGGACTGGGAAGAGGAGGAGGGGAAGACTGCTGCTGTTTGGGGGCTAGATGCTTTTCTCTTTGCCATACCATAGGCAGACTGAACTCTAACCTGAGTCAAATACAAGTGAGAAGTTCTTCCAGGCCCACCTTCCCACAGCATTCCTTAGTGTTACACTGGTTTTGGATGTCTCTACGGTACAAAAGATGCACTTTTCCTCATGGGGCAAAGTCTTCTGCTAGGCAGTTCCCATGTGTCCCTGTTGACTGTTTCTTTTGGCTTAGACCATAATCCTCTACTGTGCAGGGCATTGGAGTCCCTGCGCTGAGGCTGTTGTCAATTTGAGTAATCTTTGGCTCCTTCTCAGCACACTGAATCGATGAGAAAACAGGCCATGACTAGTCACTCAGCACTAATCCCCAGTTCTTGAACAGTCTCTGCCAGCCCTGCTTTAGGATGACACAATGAGTAACACCTAGGCATAGAAACCACTCTTTGGTTTGTTTGTATTATGTTCTACACCATTAAAGATCTAAATACAAAGGATATAATACAGTCTTGAATCTAAAATAATTTGCTAACTATTTTGATTCTTCAGAGAACTACTAATAAAAACCTAAAAGGTACATTGTGTTTAACTTCTTTATTTTGGAAAACAGCTTGACTCAGGATGGCGGTAGGTGCAATAATCATTTCCAGTCTGCATTTCAATGCACTCTTTCCACTGGAGGCCTGTGGGACCTGGAAGC